AATAGATGCAACTATTATCTGAAAATGACTCATTCCTTGTTGATTGCAGTTCAACCATGCATATAGTTAACAATAATAAATATTTGGTTTACCTGGATAAACATTTTAAACTAGACAAACATTATATTGAGTTAGCTGATGGTATAAAAACTAACAATGTGGCCCTAAAACAAGGAACAATTTAATTAGAATTAACTACTGAAAGTGGAAATGCAGTTCAAGTTAAACTAGAAAATACCTTATTTATACCAAATTACCCCAATTGTATATTTTCTGTTCAAGCTGCTGCACAAAAAGGTGCAATTGTTATCTTCAAAGGTAATAAAGGAGAGTTGATTGCTAAAAATGGGACATTATTTCTAATATACCAGAAAGGTAGATTATGTTATAAAACTTCAATAAGTAAAGTTCAAAAAAAACCATTGATACATGGCATAAAACTCTAGGACATTGAAATTTTGCAGATTTGAAGAAATTAGAGAACTTTGTTGAAGGTATAAATATTACCAATAATAATAGTATTTTTTGTGAAATATGTACTTTAGGAAAACAAACAAATATATGTAAAAGAAAACCTAATATTAGGGCAACATAACCGTTTGAGTTAGTGCATACTGATTTAGCTGGAACAATTGTTCCAATTGCAAAAGACGGCTATAAATATGTTATCAGTTTTACTGATAATAATTTTGGATGTTTATTCACTTATTTTTTAAAACATAAGTCAGAGGCTGTACATTCAACAAAAAAGTTTGTAATAGACATTGCCCCGTATGGTAATGTAAAGACTTTCTCATTCAAAAGTGATGAGATTTACCCATCTGGACATGTTAGTCAAATTAGAAGTGATAATGGAGGTGAATATATTTTAAGGGAATTTCAAGAACTTCTAAGAAAGTACTGTATTAAGCATGAGCATACCTCACCATATTCTCCCCACCAACATGGTAATGCCGAATGAAACTGGCTAGCTTTGTTTGATGCTGTCAGATGCATGTTTATTTAATCAAAGTTATCAAAATTTCTCTGGATGTATGCCATAATGACTGCAACTTTTGTTAGAAATCGTTCTCATAGTAGTAGACTTGAAAACACTTCATATAGAACTTTCACAATAACTAAGCCAAACCTTTCCAAATTACATATCTTCGGAATAATATGCTATCCCTAAGAAAATGATAGTAAAATGTTGGGTCCACGTATTAAAGTTGGATACTTTATTGTATATGACAGAGAAAACCCTTCATATTTTACATACTACCATGAAACAAACTCTGTTCTAAAGTATAGATAAGTAAAATTTACTGAAAATTTTAGACTTACAACACCAAATGATAATGATGAAGATGAAATCGAAAACTTATACCAAAAAAATCAGCATCCGTAGGAACTCAAAAACCGTACCCAAAAATTGTAGGAACCCAAAAAGAACTAGAAGACCACCAAAATATTTAAATAGTTACATTATTGACAATTGTGAAAGCAATGATTACATTAAATATATTGGCTGCTGCTATTTTGTAAAAGTACCCACTTTTACAAAATAGCAGTATTGCCATTCAAAGCAAAGAAGCCTGTGAGTGGAGGAAAGCAATAGATGAAGAAATAAATTCATTAAATGAAAACCATACATACACTCTACCTTACTATACTACCATACATATTACCTTGCCAAATGGTACTAACCTAATAATATAATAATCCTTTTTTTTTTTTTTGTTATACAATGACATCGCAAATGGAGGAAATGTTTGTTTAACGGTGAAAAGTAAAAAATAAAAATAAAAAAATTAAGTTTTATGAAGAAAAAATAAATCAAAAAACATTTTAGTAATAAAAGTTTAAAAAATAAATAATAAACAAGAATAAAGGATTTAGATAAATAAAAATAAAAAAGAAGAAAAAATAACCTTAACAGATAAAAACAAAGTTTAAAGAAAAAAGTCTTAGAAAATGGAAAATAATAAAAAAATACTAAAATTTTTTCTACCACTATTATTTAATGTAAAAAAAAGAATAAAAAAAAATTTAATTAATTTTGTACATTGTTTATATGTTGTGTATTTATGTATATAAAAAATATTGAATGTATTTATTTTTTTGCATTTTTCTCTGTCAATTTAGTTGCTGTTGCTTTTTCTATATCCTGATATTTACTTTTGTTTAACTAATCTATGTAATGCGTAATATAGGCTTTAATATTGTATGTAGTAGTGTATGCATATATTTTTTAAATTTAAGTTTGCCTTTATTTTGCTTTTTTATACTTTTCTGCAAAAATTTTGTTCCTTATCTCTAACTCTATCCTTCTGAATTTATGTGGTTAAACTTTCTGTTTTCTCTTATATTTTTTTTTCACTCATCTAATTTCATTAGTTCATTCTCTCTTTTTTTTTTTTTTCATTTTTCTTAGCCTTACTCCTTTATATTTTTGTTCTGACTCCAACTTTTTCAATATTATGATTCCTATTACTTCTTTTTTTTATTACTTGTATTAATGTAGTTTATTTTCTTTATTGTTTCCTTGTTTTAATATTTTTTTTTTTATTTGTTTATTTTATTAAGGTGTCACTCCATTGACTAGTTTTTAACAGTACGAGTGACACCAAACCTAACTTTGTAAATTATAAATAAATTTGTAATTTTTGATTTTATGGTTAAATAAATAGATAAATAAATAAAAATTAAAAATTGGAGGTAGATGGATTTACTCAGTGAAAGATGAACCTGATAATCCAATATATAAAGCTCGATATGTAGCAAAAGGTTTCATTCAAATTGAAGGAGTAAATTACTCTGAAACATTTTCACCCACAGAATTAAATCGTTAAGTATAATTATGAATCTATCTAATCTAGAATTAAATCTATGAATCTATCTAATCTAGAATTAAATCTATGAATCTATCTAATCTAGAATTAAATCTATGAATCTATCTAATCTAGAATTGAATCGCTAAGGATAATTATGAATCTATCTGTACATGAAAATCTACACCAAATACGTGCAAATACACCAAATACGTGCAAAAAGTGCATATTTACATGCTCCAATAGAATGTGAAATTTATGTCTCACAACCACCTGGCTATGAACAAGCTAATAGTGAATTAATTTGGAAGTTGAATAAATCACTCTATGGTCTTAAACAAAGTGGGAGAAACTAGATCAAATTTTTAAAATGTTATCTTATTATTTTAATTTGGGTTGATGATACCATCATAGCCACCAGTTCCACTAAAGCCATAAACTATTTTAAAGAATGACTTAACCAAAAATTTAAAATAAAAGATTTACAAAAAATATCAAATTTTCTTTTGTTCGAAGTTTTAACAAAATAGTTATGAACCAAAAGGTTTACCTCACTAATGTATTACAACGATATGGAATAGAAGATTGCAAGCCTAGAATAACACCATGTGAAACAAATCTAAAATCATATGATAGAGAACGCAAAACAAAATAAATTCAGACAAACTTAATCATGAAATGGTAGGAAGTTTAGTTTATGCAATGATATGTACTTGCCCTTACCTTAGTTTTGTTGTCACAAAATTATCACAAAATTTGTCAAAACCAAATAACAGATTCAACAATGCTTAAATATGTTTTTCAATCTATAAAATGTACTCTGGACTATTCCTTAACTTTTAGAAAAATGCAACAAAATATTAGTTTGAATGCATTTTGTGATGCTGATTGGGGAGCATCTTGCAATGATTGAAGAAGTATTACTGGTTATTATTTTGTTCTTTACCAGAATGGACAAATCATAGCATGGAAGTCTAAGAAACAAGCCTCTGTTGCTCTTTCAACTAGCGAAGCTGAGTATATGGCAATATTTGCTACATGTCAAGAGGTACCATATCTTACTCAATTCCTGAAGGATTTATTTGTAGATAAGAACCAGTGAAAGTCAAAAGCGACAACCAAGGTTCAATTGCTTTATCGAAGAATCCAGTGAAACATTTGCGTTCAAAACACATCAACATACAATAATATTTTATAAGAGAGTATATTCATAATAGAAAGAATATGTACCCTCAAACAAAAGCTTAGCAGATATTTTTCGAAACCATTTAAAAGGGACTCTATGAAAATATTTAGAACATGACTTTTTTGTAAATTTAGATTTTGACATTATGTGGGGGTGTTAAAGTGACATCATCTGCGCGGCTGTTGTATTTATTATTGTAATTACGGACCATTAAGTAGTCAATCAGAGTTGTAATAGCCGTGTGTCATCATGGCCGCTTCTTAATATGAATATATAGATTGCATATTTAGTTAGTATTTATTCCTCCATTACGATTAACCCCAACTTAACACTATAATCTGCTTAACTTGTGCTTAGTCTAAAAACATAAAATGTTGCCACATTTTAATAGTTTATTCTTTGTGTTCTTTGCAAATTTTGAAGTGATCACAAATATTTTAGAGAGAAGCATTGGTTTAATGCAACTCAGTACAACCAAAGAATAAGGTATTTTGTAAGGTATCTTCATACTGTGTGGTTGAGAACAAAAGGTCTTGAAATCTGTATGCTCTTCTCAGCCATACAGCATATCTTTATTGGGTTTTGGAGTATTTCTTGGTCTTTCATAGGGTTTTCCTGGGTTGATACCATCTGTTGATTCACTGAATGATTTCATAAACAGTTATCAAAGACATCTTTGTGCAATAGTTTATATACATTTATACAACTGGGTTATTCATTACACCAAGTTAAAACTGAGGAAAAAACCTGCATTTATTATAATAAACAATGTAAATTTTACACTTTTTTGCCTTTTTTTAATTAGCTAGTTTTTACTTAAACTTATTGCCTGAAAAGGCAATAAGTTCAAGTAAATTTATAAATATAACTATTTATTTAGAAACAATTTTATTATTTTTTTTAATTTTTTTTTTGTATAAAGTTTCTACATAAATATTTTTTAAAACAGTTTAATAAAAAAGAAAAAAAAAAATAATTTTATCAACTATAAAGTTTGTTTTTAGAGCTTTGGAATTTGTCTGTATTTTTCTTGCTGAAGTATTACATGGTGAAAGAGATTTGGTAGCAGCAGCAGGTAGTCGAAGTTAATCATTGTATCATATATTTGTTTAAATCTTAACTTGATAAAAGCGCAAATATATATAAAACAATATTACAAATTTTTAAAAAATCTTTACCCACTGTAGATTTTTTATCATTTATTTTTTTCTGCCAATTCTAAAATTGTGAAAATTGTTTTCTGCATCATTAACCATTTTAAATTTTTTTTTACCAACTGGCAACTGAGCAAACATTGCACTCTAATAAACATAGCATTCTAAAAAACATTGTATTAAAGAAACACAATCTTGTGTATTTTGCAACACAATATTTTTGTCATATATGCAAGATTTTGTTATTTCACAAGGCCTTCTGTAGGAATTTATACACAATCTTGCATTTAATCCATTTATTTTAAATAATATATTATGTTTGTAATTTAATTATGATATATGATATTGATTATGATATTTAAATGATATATGATATTGAATAATATTTTTTAAACTTAAAGAAAGTTTCTTGCACCTTTTTGATCTTAAAATAATTTTAGATAAAAAATTTATGTTGGCATTATCATAGAAAGAATAGAGGAGGAGGGGCCTAACTCTTAAGAAAATATTCCATAATACAGTCTAAAATTTGTCAGTATCATTTTAAGGCTTTAAAATTTCTTGATGAAAGGTTTTAAACTGCATACACTACATATGAGAAATCTCTTTGAATAATTTATGTGTTTTTAGTAGTAGCAACATAACCAGATAGTTTATAAACTAATTCTTTAGAGAAATTTTATAGAACTTGTAGAGTTTGATTTGAAGAGATAATCAAAAGCAACAGAAACTTTTAAAGGTTTAACTGTAATTGCTTTTTGATCGCACACAACAGAAAAAAGACAGCCCACACAATAAAAGGTTTCTGTTTTGGATTTGAGCAATTAGAAAACATTTCATGAGTTTTGTCACCCTTAAAAAGTTGAGTTTTCGAAAGGAAAATTAACACAAATAAAAAAATGAGAGAAAGAAGATTTAACAGTTGCAAGTATAATTGAATTTTATATTTCTTACAAATTATCATGCTATTGGTATATTATTTATTAAAGAAAATTAAGAGATTTGGAAATAAATCTTACCTTTAGTTCTTTAATTAGAAAAACCATTGCTGTATTTGCTGAAAAACAATATTTTCCCATAGTTGGCAAGAAACAAATAAGAAACAAACAAGAAAGAAACAAGGGTATTAGAGATTTTATAAGATTTTAGTACTAAAACATCTAAATAAAACTAAAGTTTTATTACGGGTTTAATAAATACAAGTTTTTTCTTTAAGATTTTCTGAAGATTATTTACCAGTATTGCTATTCTCTTCAGTATCTGTCTTACTTATAATGTCAAGGCATTAGCCAATCAGTATCTGTCTCACTTATAATGTCAAGGCATTAGCCAATCAGTATCTGTCTCACTTATAATGTCAAGGCATTAGCCAATCAGCTTGTATTATACAGATATTTGTTCTAAAATTGTTTTTTGTTTTGAAATTGTAATTGTTGCAGTAAAACTGTCTACATAATTTTGATTTATGCATTTGAGTTCATTATTAATTCAAAAAATAATTTCGTATGCAAAAAATTGAAACCTAAAGTTTTTTGCATTTTAAAATATTATATTTATCAATACAATTGCATTATGAATCTATTATTAATAAATGCTTTATAATTTTATCAAATGTTTTTAAAAAAATTATTAATGTATTGAAAAATACTCAAAGTATAATTATGCAGTTATTCAACATAAAATTATAACTAAACAATACAAAGTTAACATATTCTTTTTACTGCAAGACCTGTGTTCTTTATACCTGCTGGGTAACAACGATAAATTTCTCTAAAAGAATTTGTCAGGAAAGCCTTTGATGTTCCTGGAAAATAGTATAATTTTTATTTATAAAAGTACATTAAATCTAGAACTAGAAACAAATAAAAAAAACTTATCAAAATCAATCATATAAAAAAAAGTTTTGTAAACTAAAAACTAATAAGTGACAAACTAATCTTAAATTTATCATCACATGGAGTTGTATTAAATATCACATTGTATTAATGATTATAAACTAAAAACTAATAAACGACAAACTAATCTTAAATTTATCATCACATTGAGTTGTATTAAATATCACATTGTATTAATGATTATAAAATATCACATTGTATTAATGATGCTGCAAAAATAGGATTTGTTATTATGTTAAAAATAGAATTAAATCATTAAGCCTAGTGCAGTGACTGTGTTTTTTCATGTTTCACATATTAAGGGTTATAATAGCAGTATAGGCTACTACTATTTTTGAAAAAAAAAATTAAAAAAAACTTACACATCCATTTCCGCTTTGGTATGCCATAAACTTAAAAGTTAAAACGCTACTTTTTTCCATGATCGCTTAGTCTTTAATGATTCTAAGATAAACTCACAAATTACACAAAAATGTTTAAATTAGTTTTGGTGATATTGCAAGTGGAAAATACAAATGGAAAATGCTATAAAAATGCAATAAAAAACTCTATATCGTCGCCTTAGAGGGCAGAGGTTCTCCATCTCCATTTTGGGTAGTTTTGCAGGAGAACAAAAACAAAGTTTGAGCATTAAGCATAAATCAGCAATTTCATTTTTTGTTAGTGTTAATGTTTTTTGATCAATTAGAACTATCAAACATGATAGGAATAATTCAACTTTTTTGAAATTATTAACATTGAAAAGAGTATGGCACAAATTATAAAAGTCATCATGGAATTAGAACCTTTGCCTAAATTAATTGCGAGTTGAATGGGATTTTTGAAATTTATAAACATGAATCCAATTAAAAATTTTTTTTAATTAATACAAAATGCTTTTTATGATTGTGTAAACTATCAGATAACGACAATCATGGTTCAAACTTTTTAAAATTAGTAACATTTTGGGACAAATTTTACAATTACCATGGAGATAGAACTTTTACTCAAATTAACTGTGAATTGAACAGAATTTAAAAATTTGTAAACAATGTTTTTGTAATCAATATTATTAAATTCTAAGTGAAATCTTAATCTTAATTAGCAGAAAAATCAGAAAATTGTTATAATAGCAAAATTATATAACAGAATAATTATTGTAGTAATACTGAAAAAAATGACTGACAAAAAACAAAGTCTCAGTTCTAGTTGTCTTCATAGTCCGATTCATCAATTTCTGACTCATCAGCAGTTGGTTCTGGTAAACTGTCTCTCATGGCTACTGCAGACGGTAGGTTGTTATACCATTGGGCATAATCTGGTGGAATAACACGCGATTTCACTATGCGCATGAGATCTTTTTTTTTCGCATCCGAAATAGGCAGGCGAGTAGGATACAATGGCTGAGGCTCTAATCCTTCGATGTTGGATCGTCGTCCTCTTCCAGACTGTACATTTATCTCCATAAAGGTAGGCAACGTAATGCTATATTTGTACTGCATAATGAATGGTCTTGACTTTTCAAACCTTGCCCACTTAATATTCAACCAGTTGACGGTTTCACCTTTAATATTTTTTGTACGATTTTTCACAATTTTACCGCAAAGTTGTTTTGAGTCAAAAAAATCGGTGTGTTGCAGTGGTTTAACAAGATATGGACACGGATTCTTGCGCGCTGCAGCAATCAGAACTTCCTATTCTCGTGTAGTGTAAATTTTTTGATGGCTCTTACTGCGTTCAATAGTACTGTGCATAGAGTTAACTTCTAAATAAGAATGACCAGACTCCATACACTTCATATCGATGCATTTCAGGTGAGTTGTTTGAACAATGTTCATCATTGTAATTTGGTTTCTATTTTGTCCAGAGCAATGGACAAAATAGAAACCAAATTACAATGATGAACATTGTAATTTGAACCAAATTACAAAATATCAACAAAATAGAAACCAAATTACAATGTTCATCATTGTAATTTGGTTTCTATTTTGTCGTATCACTAAAAGAAGTCACCCTCTTCACAGAAACTAGAAGAGACTTCATATAATCTAACAGAGCTGTATTTATTTCATTGGCTCCTGGTTTACCTTCACTTTCATCCCATAGGTAACAAATTCCTTTTTTGGTCGACATTTCATAAATGGTAAAATTATAAACGGCAAATTTCCGCATATAGAAAATTTGTGCATCACCTGCAAATGGAAGTGGTAACACTGCTTCGAGGTCAAAAGTTATAGAACGAATGGACTTGTCAGCAGCAGATGCAGTCTTATCAGAATTTTTTTCGTTCATAGCTTCCTTTTCACAAAATTTATGACTGTCATAATTTGGTCGTAGCGTTTCTTTATCATCACCACTGGCATCTCGAAAAGCATTGCAAATCGAGCATTGGTCTTTTTTGGGAATAAAAAATTTTATAATAAAATCAGTAACAAATATTCTTCGATATACACCGATAGAAAATGGATCTGTGATATTTTTCGTTGTGCAATAATCATCTTTGTATAGTCTATAAAGTTCCTCAATACTTGGTTCAGGACTAAGGTATTTTGCCTTTGATGAAGCCCGACAGTAGTGAGATTCGACCTGAGGAAAGCTTAGGATGTGCTCTCGAACTGCATTGGTTCGCATTTCTGAAGTCTTATTGGCTGGAGTTTTTCCGTTTTTTGAATTTGGTGGTATGAAAAGACCAATCTCATTTTTATTTTTTACAACAAACTGAACAGTTTTCTTGCTTATGTCCAAAGTCGTGCAAAAAAATTTTTGGCACACTCTAATGACAATGTTTTCATTCGCTTCCACTGGCAGATGATATGCACAGGATATTGTTTTTGGTCTTATTCCTGAGTTGTCACGACGACGTGAAACATTGCTACTTTTCACTAAATTGCATATGAAATCTTTTTTTCTATTTTCACCCTCTAGTTGGTAGTAGTGTTTATTTATTTCTAGTCGTTTGGTTTCCTCAAAATGTTCTCCACACTTGAAATTGCACTTTAAACAGTTCACCGTTCTAGGTGTTTTGGGCGGTACTGCTTTACCTTTTC